GACTGTGTGTATATTTCAGTCCATGTGACCTTCATCAGATTAATTATATTCTATCATTTGTGTACAAACTGTCCATATACCTGAAAATGCTTTTTGTTCAGGCAAAGCTTGATCTTGGATCCAAACCAGACGTACATTCAGTTGGGGTGAAATGCCTCAATCACTGCAGTACACTTATTTTCTTGTATGATATATTTTTTTTACAGAATAATATAATAATGGTCAGCGCAAATGCTTCTACTCTGACAGATCTACGTTTTCCATCTGCACTCTTCCTGTTTGCTCAAGATTTTCTATTTCTATCTGTAATTTTTCTTAAAGATCTTTAATTATATTGTTTGATATGAATCAGAACATTTTTCCAGCACCTTTGTTAAACTATAACTGGAAGTTTTAATCAGATCAGTCCATTTAGTGTTAGTAACATATCAACACAAATACTACACCCGGGATTATAATCCTCTCCTCTCCTCTCCTCTTCTCTCCTCTCAGTCAGTTGCTGAAGTCTCTCATGGAGCCGTTTCACAGATCTCAGTCTTCTGCAGATGGCAGCATCGTCCACAGGCAGTCCTACCACTCAGTCGCTCGCTGTGTGGCTGCTCTGTCCTCTGCTTCTCCCAAAGAGACTCCTGGCACTGTGGCTGGCTTCATACAGCAGGTGTGAGAGTCTGGTATTTGTGCTCTGCTTTAGCTTCAATGGAGGTTTCCTCTAAGAATGTGACACAAACAGACATGCGATATAAATTTGTTAGACAAATTTTGTTTGTTTGTTTTATAAAATTTGATCTGAAACTGGCCTCTTAGAAGCTACCTTTGTTTTCTTCGCTGTTATCACTTTAACACTTGCCTCATTGGATTTCTGCCCTCTCCTCTCCTCAGGTGAAGAATCCCGGCTCTCCAGAGTCTGCTCGTGTCCTCGCCCTGTTGTGTCTGGGGGAGGTGGGGAGGAAGGGCAGTCTGGGAGGAAGTAAGGAGGTGCAGGGAGTCATCTTGGAGGCTTTCTCTTCCACCAGTGAAGAGGTAGGACACACTATCCATATCTGAATATTTACATTTTTTCATTCACAATGAATAAATGTATCTTTTAGTTAAAAGAAAAGCTTCTCCAAATCCGATTGTGTGCCAGTGTTTTAATAAAGATTTCTTTTTTCTTTGATTGTCTGAAGAGCTTCAGGTTTCACACTAATAAACTATCTTTTCCCCCCACATCACAGTTACATTTCCTTGATATTGAAACCTAATTAGTCAAAAAGTCAGTTTAGTTTTTTACCCTTTTACTGCTTTGATATCAGTGCCAGTTGTTTGTTTTACTACTTAAGTGCTTCTTCAGTGTCTGATAGTTGTTTCACAACAGCCAGAAACATTAGGAGGTGTGAAAACAGAGCTTAAAGAAGATTTCGAGATCTGACAATCAGTAAAAAAGATCTTTCAGAATGAGATGTTGCTTTAGCTCTGTGGAGCAAACTGTGTGGAGTAGCGTGGGTTAGTTCAGTCGATGAATTATGCGACAAAGGTTAAATAAGCTCAGACAGCCGACTGTGTGGAGATCTTGTTTGTGATTTCAGGTGAAGACGGCAGCCTCCTGCGCTTTAGGCAGCATGGCCGTCGGCTGCCTGAGCGATTACCTGCCCTTCCTCCTGAAGGAGATCTCAGCCCAGCCACGCAGACAGTACCTGCTCCTTCACTCCCTCAAAGAAGTCATCAGGTGTGTTGAATGTTTGGCTAA